CGCCACTGGATATATATATATATACATATATAGCCTATTAGTAGCCTATTATTATTACACGAACATAATAATAATAATGAGAAGAGGAAACAATAACACCGTAGCAAAAGAATATTTATTCTTTTTGATCGATCGTTCCTGGAAAGTGCATCATCAAAGATTTTACATTAAGCAAAATTCGTATTTAAGACATGAACACAACCGAGCGGCATTTTCATCATTTTGGACAGGTGTTGCATAGAAGAAAACGTCTTTTAAGCAAATGTATAAAAATTAGGGTGACGAGATGGAGTTCGCTGTGGTCATTGTTGTTCCATCCATCACTTGGCACCATTATTTGTCTTAACCAAGACAACGAACTCTGCAAAAAGACAGAAGGAAAAACACCTGTGACATATCCGTTAGCAGGAAAAACAAAACATCCAAAGAGGAATTTCACTGTGGTGCACGTGAATTTTTTTAATTTATTTTTTATACCATCAGCGCCAATCTTGCCGTCACCGTCGGTGTCACCAGCACCGAGGAAAGCCTTAGTCTCGGTGTCGTTCAGGACGCGTGCACCTGACTTGAAGTTCTGGAGGAACAGCCTGCAGACAGAGGTGAGCAGTGAGTTCACAGACCCAAGTTCTCATTGGCTAAGACATGCAATCTGACTGCAGAGAGTACAGTTTGGATACAAGTCAACTAAGGCATAAAAAAGCTGTTTTCTTTAGCTAAATAAATTAAATTAAAGCAAAATATTCATTCAAAAAAACGACCCATACCTAACCGAAATATATCATTCTGGTTATATAAAACCAGTGCATGGGTTAAATATGTCTACACATAGCTTACTGTAGTCTACTGTTAGCGACTGAATGGTTTTGTGCTTACAGCCTCCTGCCACTCATTATGATGCATCCAAGGTCAAATCAACAACAACAGCAAAACCCTAACAACGCCTTTTGTATGAACTTTCTTACTTAAGCTCGTCCTCCTCAATGAAACCGCTCTTGTCCTGGTCAATGATGGCGAAGGCCTTCTTGATGTCATCTGCGGACTTGTCATGAAGGCCGCAGGACTTGAAGAACTTCTTGTGGTCGAATGTGCCGGCGTCTGAAAGTAGCGCAGGTTGTTACTGAAATTCGCACAAAGCAAGCGCAGCTGAACAAAAAAGAAGGTGAGTTGTGATCGCAGACGAGGGAATCACCTTTGCACGCATCCAGGGCTGCAGTGATGTTAGCCTCAACTAGTACACCTCCGAATGCCATTGTGAACTGGGAAAATAAAAATAAAATTCATTATTAAACTTTTAAAGTTGGGCTTAATGTCCATAGGTGACCATCCCAGGTTATTATTATTATTTTATTATTATTATTAATATTATTATCTTTTAGAACATTGGCAGCATCTGAAGAATCACACATCTGTAAGTTTGCTTCTTGCCAAAAATAATCTGAACCACTCCAAATATGAAAGGGCAAATTATTCATTGCGCTTCTTTCTGAAGCTGCAACTCTAAAGATGCGAGTACGTCTGATCAGTAATCCATGTGGCCAACGATGATGACGCTCCGGCAAGAAAGCGCAAAACTCATCTCCTTCTTCTGATGCTGCCTCGCAGTAAGGAGTCCCGATTTAAAGCGTAATTAACAATAAATTAAAAAAGTAAAAAAAATTAATAAATGTAGTGTTTTCTCAAAGATGCCAGGTGATGATGTGGCTCTCGGGTTTCCCTTCTCCTTTCCATTCAAACTCACCTCTTGTGTCTTTGCTTTGTAGGCTACGAATGACACAGACAAGACCCGAGTCGACTGCAGTGACCATCACGGCGCTCCGGGTGAGCTTTTATATGATCACGCCATCGAAATCTGAAGCATAAGATAACTGACACCGAGAAGGGGGATGCGAAAATGCGTCCCCTTAGCCAGAGAGCCGTCTATTTTAAGTTTCACAAATGAAGACGCTTAAAAGGTGCGTTTGAAGAAGTCTTTAATGTCCACTCAAAGCTAAGAATAGGCCCCAGCACTGCTGAGGAGGACGAATTGGAAGTGCTGCGGGCGGGGGCGGGGGACTGAGCATGCATGCATTAGAGCTGGCGTAAGTTGTACTAACTGGTTGTTTCTCCTCTTTTTGACGATTTAGAAGGCGTGGACTACTCACTGCAACAGTATGTGAAATATATTTGGCGACTTTGAGGGAAATTGTGGTTTTGATTTCTTAGCTGGAACAATGAAGGGTACTTCGTAAGATATATATGTATTTCACTCCTTTGAGATTCGCACAGATAGTCTGCCTGCCTAGCACATTGCTAAATACTTTTTAAAAACCCGTCTTACTTGTGCCGCATACGAATTCCAAATATCAGCCACGCCCGGTTTTACTGTCAAGTCCTTTTTGTTCCAAATATTTGTAAAAAGATTTATTAAATAACCAAATTAATTCAAGGGGACTCTCTGACTTTAGAAATATTCTTAAGTTTTCCTTAAAAATTCCATCTGCCATGTGTGATTACAATAGATATTCTAAACCCCTAAAGGCACAAGGGCATGCTCATGCTTTTAGACAAAGCATTAATAATCAAAATGGGCAAAAAAAAGATAATCACAGTCAGCTACTCTTGCTGAAAGAATGTGTTTGACCTGTAGGAGGCAGCAAAGTTCTGTGGCGTAAGCCTAGCAATTGTGAGGAAACGGCAGACTGCTATCACTCAGACTATTTCTGATTCCCCTGCTGTTAGACAGTAATAACCTTATGGCGTCATCTGATAGGCTTGAGGTTTACATAATGCTGAATTCTTAGCTTACATTGGGATCGTAATTTGACTTTAATATGGAAACTGAGCTGTTCAAAATTTCATTCCAGGCTTATGCATATAGAATATTTTCTTCCTCAAAATGAGGTACACACCAGGTGCTGATAGAAGTTAAATAATGTATTAAAGACCTTCGGCTGATGTAGATGTGCAACTGTACAGTGGGTTCAGTGTGTTAAAAGTTCCTGCTGATGCAACAGTGACTGTTAATAGAACTCCTGTTGCCACAGCACATCATTTAATTGACTATGCAGCAGTTGGTGGAGGAGGAGACCTTGGAAGAGACAGCGTGGCAGCTATCCATTGCAAACCTCCCTAAGATCCCAGAAGCATGTGAGCAAAGCCCCATGGGCCCATTCCCACAGCATTTCCCAGTCCATGGCCAGAGTCCAGCCACACTCCACTATCTCATTAACCAATTATCCAAACAAGTGCTGGGCATGTTGTTTAGACCGTCACTCAACACCTCTGGAGTATTCAAACACCCTGGCAAATCAACAACTACCGTAAGTTGAAAGTGCCACTTCCTCAAACCATTGTGTTGGCATAGCTACGTCTGTGTGAATAGAGAGGGTTTTGGTTGACCATGCAAAAAACGACTGACCTGAACGAGATGACTTTACACCAAAAGAGTATTTATTCCTGGTTTTTCACTCTTCCTCAAAAAGTGCAGATGATGTTGTACAGTTTGCACAAGTCATTTTTTCAGAACATTTAACACATCTGAATAACAGTATCAGTAAAATATGTGCTCCATGTTGAGAAACAGTCCACAGGCAACTCATAAATAAGGTATAAAAAATATTCTTTCAGCTGATGATTAGTGAATCTTGCAAGGAGTTCACAGTTCCATGAAAAGAAGTGGATCTTGGTCAATGGAAATTTATGCCTTTACAAGGGCAGCAAACTCTGTGAAAGTAGAATAGAACTGCCATTAGTATTGGGAACAAAGTGGATTCAGGTTAGTGGTATAGTTTAAACTGACAGGAGCCATTCTCTGACTAAGGGTGTGTCAATGGATGTTAAAAAAATTAAGCTTGTTTCTAACATCTGATTCATGTAGGCTCTGCGGGTAACACTTCATATATATGATGTGTTCTGCTAAACTGAAAGATCTGTAGGAAAGTGCACCATGCTCCACAAAGAACCCTCACCATCAATTCCGATCTTGCCATCACCATCACTGTCACCAGCGGAGAGGAAAGCCTTGGTCTCCTTGTCAGTGAGTGCTCTGGCACCAGCAGAGAAGTTCTGCAGGAACAGCCTGGCGTGTGGACAATAAAAAGCAGCAGTTATTATTTATTATTTTCTTGTGAACCCTTTGGTTTTCCATGTTTTCATGTGTGAGATTTTAAGACTTAAATTGATGTGTCAACCAAATGATCCATAAGAAAGTCATCAACAGCTTCTTTTTGGGGGCTTCCTTAGCAATAGTTACTATATTATTTGGCTTGTAGACTAAAGCCCAAGTCTATAAATAAATGACACAAATCACACTGATAAGATCGTGAATACTCTGGACCACTTAGGCTTGCAAGTATGAGATGCCAGCATTAAGTGTGAACTGCTGGAATTACTTACTTCAGCTCATCCTCCTCAATGAAGCCGCTGTTGTCCTGGTCAATGATTTTGAAGGCGTTCTTCACATCATCGGCAGTTTTTGCAGCCAGGCCGCTGGCCTTGAAGAACTTCTTGTAGTCGAAGGAGTCAGCAGCTAGAACACACATTTTAACTCAATTAGCGCCCAGCAAGTCTGCGCAAGCACAAGTCAGGACTTCATTGTTGATGCAATACGATAACTGTGACTGTTTATATGACACAATGTGAAACTGAGACTTTACTGCTTTCTGACTGAAGCCAAGTTGCATCACTTGTTGGTGTTTTGAATCAAATAGCAGTAAAATGTTCAACAAAGTTACATGAATAATGAAAAACTAGAACAGCTTGTTCACTGTGTGATGAAATAATGATAATGAATGCTCACCTGCGCAGCCATCCAGAGCTGCTTTCACTTCAGCATCATTGAGGACACCAGCAAAGGCCATTTTTTAATCTTAGAGAGGGAAAAAAGACAAGATAACTGGATTAGTATGGTCATTATAAGTCCTATGCAGTGGTCATACTATTGGATTATAGATCATTTTTCAATTCTCCAACTTAACTGGACAATTTGACCTATTTTGTTTAGACTACATTACAGTGAACCTAACTATATGATGTGAGTAATCATAAATAAAACACAGGAAGGGTAAAATCAGACATTAGTGGTCAAAAGCTTAAACAAGGATTAATCCACAATAAAGCAAAGCCCCCTTTTACTTTATGTTGGTCACGAATCAACTCTTTTCCTTAATCCAAAGTCTACCATGCAGCTCTACCCGTCCCGATTAATATAAACAACTACTCTTAAGAGCTGCTCTTCGCCTCCGGATGTTTAATCACAACACGGCACTGACTGTGTATCCCAAAGCGTTTTGCTGCTATGGCACGAAATAGATGATGCTTCCACCGAGAGACCAAATCACGGCAACATGAATCACTGACACAAATAAACAAAGCACCAGTGACGTCAAGCGCGCCAATAACCCTAGGTGTGTTATCATAGCATTTCTTTTATCCCGTTAAAAGAGATAATGTAAATAACAATATTCATCCACAAACGGCGCTCTTCTGAAATCTTTTGGCCTCCTTTGCGCGCTAATTGAATTATCCTGTGGTCCATGAAGTTGTTGGCTATGTTTGTTCCAATTCTCTCTATAGTTTATAGTCCACGTGGATCTCCTTGTCTGAATCCCCTTTTCCCCCTTCCAGTGTAGAAGTCGGTGTGGCGTTCGTCCGCATCCCCGCACTCACCTTTGCGCTGAGTTGAGGCGAGTGAAAACCTAGGCGGACTCGAGTGAATGCCACGAATCCCCTTTCCCTCTCTCTTATATATCCTTGAGCAACACCATTTACAGACCTTTGAGTCCCAGTATCAGGTACCAAGATCCATGGGTTTCGAAAAAATGTGTCTAGTAGTTCAGACCTATTTTTAGGTGAACAAATGAGGATGCTACCATGTGTGAGTAAGGCCTATAGCTAGACATGTGTAACTCGAGCATGCCCGCTGCTACCCGACTTCACTGGCCATGTTGCACCTATATGATTTATTGCCAGCATGCTGATTTTGATTCAGAACGTTTCCTCTACGAGCATAAATTAAAGGAACTGATACATGTGAGGGTGCAGGTCATAATTATAACCCTTATTTTGATTTGTGAGAACCATGTAAAGGAACACCAACCAATTCAACTTCCTACTTTAAACAGGATAACCTTTATTAACGTCACTATAAGCCTTCACTATGAAGAGAAGACCACTGGAAAGGACTGCCTTTTAAAACACCTTTATTTTTGATTTCCATGTCAATATGATCACAGAGCCATTTTCACCTATGCCTTTTAGACTTCTGATTGGCTGATATTGTTTATTTCTACCGTGTTTTCTCTGGCATCATATACTCCAATCACATGCTATATAAACCCACAGTGAGTCCATACAGTCCATTAACAGAGCTGTTTTATGATAAATCTTTCCAGCAATATTTAATACTCATGGTTGTAGAGTGGCTGTGGCTCTTGGGCGACTTATAACTAGATTTACACAAATTCCAGGTTATTTTACATAAATGCAATCTTTTTTCCTTATATTATTAAGAGTTTCTTATTTATTGGTGTCAGGCTTTCTATTCTTGCCTCTGAAGTTGCAACACCAGGCAAGATGGTCTCAGATGATAGACATGTGCAGCTTCTGCCTATATGCTGTCCTGTAACATTAACTAGCTATACCTAGTGTATAAGCTACAGCACAGTATACACAAGGTTCATCTGAACTCTTCACGAAGTGTTGAGTTTCAAACTAAACCACCACCTTATCAGGGTTGAGACTTTGAGGCCTATTTTTTTACATGCTGTATGATTGCAAGCATGACAGTTTTCCATGCTATCCTCAGTAGTTACACCAGCATGTGTCTGTGAATAACATCCTTATAAAGCTTAAACCAAAGACTGCTGATCTCAGTCTGGTAGTTCTGTGTAGTCAGTCTTTCTTTTCTTTTCTTTTCTTTTCTTTCTGTCTGGTCAAACTGAACTCGTGCTAGTGAGTCTACAGCAGTGACTCAAAATGAGGATATTCTTAACTGTCAGAACCATGGTAGTGATCTTTGGTTAGATCCCAGTTTTAGGCAAGCAGTTTTAAGTAAACGCATTGGAAGAAGCAACTTTATCACAAATATTTCGTGTTTAATGGAAATACTGGATATCAGTTTAATAAAGTAAAACAGTGGCTCTCTCAGAACCTGCATTATACACACTATTAGGCACACCTTGCTAATACTGGGTTGGACTGCAGAGATATTGGTCCATATTGATATGATAGCATTGCACAGCTGCTGCACATTTGTCTGTTTCACATCCATGATGCAATTCTCTTCATTCACCTTTTTGGATTTTCTCTAAATCTCAATGGGGATGCGGTGACCATTTGAGTAGAGTGAAATCATTGTCATGTTAAAGGAGCCAGTTTCAGATGACAGCAACAGTACTGGCAAGCAGGCTGTGGTGTTTCAACTGATCCTCAGAAAATATCCCCCACAGATTTACACCACCACAACCACTGCTACAAGGAAGGATGGATTCATGTTTTCGTGGCTTATGCCAAATTCTGACAGTATACCATCTAAATGTTACGACACAACTCATCAGACTAGGCAACCTTTTTCCAAACTTCTGTTGTCCAGTTTTGGTAAGCCTGTGTGAATCGTAGCCTCAGTTTCCTGTTTTAGGTGACAGGAGCGGCTCCTCTGTGGTCTTCTGCTTCATCTGCTTCAAGGTTTATGTTCAGTGATGCTCTTCTGCATATTCTGCTGTAGGTTTTTCTGTTGCCTTGCTATCAACTTAAAGCAGTTTGGTCATTTTCCTCTGAAGTCTGACATCAATAAAGCATTTTTACCCAGAGAAGCGCTGCTCACTGGATATTTTTTAGGTCCATGCTCTGTAAAGTCTAGAGATTGTTGCATGGTAAAGTAGATCAGCAGTAGAATTGTTATTTTTAAATATTTTTTTCATTTTCATTTTGGTTTGACTTTTTATTTTTAATTCTGTTTAGTCTAACTTACTGCCCAGATTTGTTTCCCCTTTGAGTTGTTTTTTATTTGAAGATTTTTTTGTTTTTGTTTAGTTTTTTTATTAGTTTCAGTGTTAGTTCTAGATAGTTTCATATTTTTAGTTGATCTTAGTTAGTTTTCCAAGTTCACAAAATAACTTAGAATGATTAATTTTCAACCTATGGCGGTTTCAAAAGTTTTGCCTTTTATTTTTCTCAACTAGTTCCCCTCTTGCAAAACACTTAGGCCTTGCATACTGTTTGGATCTAATAATATAACAGTGACAAATTCACCCTCTCAAGCAGCAGGTAGCTGGTTTGATTCCGACCAGAGACACATAAACCTCTTTGGGATTGTGTCAGGGCGTCCGGCATCAAACCGCAAACTCAAACATGCAGAGCGACCCTTTGTGATGAGGGAGACAGCAGAATAAGAACCCTAAATTTCATATATTTCGTTTCATTTTTAACCTGAAATTTGGTTACTTTTCTCAAAGTGATCCAAAATATATAAAAATTAAAATGTTTAAAATTGTATGTTGTTCATGGAACATGGGGAAGCTCTAAACAGTATAAATGTGTATAAGGTGCACAAAAGGATGAGAGATGGTGCTCGGTCACAGGATGTGAACTAGAGGAGTGGGGTTTCTGAGCGTTAGTACTATCAGCTTACAGCACGAAGGTTCCTGGTTGAAATCCTGTCTGCAAAGTTTGCATGTTTGACCAACTCCATTGCAATTGGGAGGGGCTGTCTCCTACAGTTCAAATTACTTTGAGCAGTCAGTAAGGCCAGAAAAGTGCTATTTGAATCCAAATACATTGTGTAACTGCCCCTTGTTGGTTGTGCTTCAAGTATCCAGAATGTAAGAAAATAATGAAAATAATTATTCATTATTTTCATTATTCTCATAATCACATTAGAATGCAGCAAACTGAGATTAAAACACAGATCAGAAGAGGGTTGGAGAGTCATAAGATTATAAAGTCATAAAGAGCAAATCCTCCACACACAACATTTCCTTCCACTGCTTTAAATGCACAGGCTAGTTCAATACGCAAGTTTTGTGCTCTAAGTGATAATTAATATTGAACTAATGTTGATTAGTAATTGTAAGAAATATATATATATATCATATTATAAATCCCAAGAGTTCTGATATTTTGCCATTTTCACTTTTAATAAAACATAAAACATAATAAAGCAGTGCTACATCTTCTTGACTGAGGTAAAACGCAACATGATATTTTGTGAAAATAGATGTTTTTTTTCTTCTTCTTCTCCCTGACCTCTGAAATATTACCAATTTAGTATTATTTATTAAAGCATTAACATAACAGCAGAATGCAATTTATACATTTTAAATAGCTTGTTGTAGATACTTATTATGAAGCAATTTTTGACTCAGTTCTAAACCTGACCTGAGCTATGTGAAGTCATTGAATATGAATGAATAGTATGTAATGCTTAATGCATCTATTTGCATCTATTTAAGTTTACATGTATATATATATATAAAAAAAGACAAGCAAAGAGTAAGTTTACTTCTTTAATTGTCTACATTTATTGATTCAAGGTACCTGATTGATTAAACACAAACATGTTTAACATCCAACTTTGGTCATCTGTCTACTAAACATCTTATACACGTTGCATCACATGAACAGGGAGAGCAGCAGGCAGGTACAGATTTTGTGAGGTTTTTGGTCTTTGCATGAAACAATCCAGAAAGTCAAGATCTCCATTGCAAATCCATTATTCAGAACAAGGGTAGACAGCCTCGGTCGTATGTGTATGTAGTTTCTCTTTACTTCAGGAGATCACAGAACTCTGTGTGGGGGGAAAACAGAGACAGCCAAAAGTTGAATTGTGGTTGTCATGCAGCATTACAGTTAAGCAAGATGACTCAACAAACAAGAAATATTTTGTTTTCTTTTTTTTTTAACTTGTTGGAGAGCAGAAGTTTATTTACATCAGTTTTTTTTTTTTAAAGACTAGAATTTCAGCACTAAGTGGTGGACAGCTCCTCAGCACAAATTGCTCTGATTTCACATCTGCTAACAGCTCTTCTAGATGTTTTACAAACACTCACCTTCTATTCCAATCTTGCCATCACCGTCTTTATCCCCAGACGCCATCAGAGCTTTGGTTTCAGCCACAGTCAGCTCTCTGGCCCCCGGAGAGAAATTCTGAAGAAATAGTCTGAAGGGTAGACATAAAAAAAAAACAAACAAACATAGAAGCAGTAAGTTCAGACTGTATCTCTGCTGATGCCTTTTCTTCACCTCTAAGCCTTTTTCAGTTGTCCCTGTCCTCCTCACTCACTCAATTCATGTATCAGTCAATTCATGCAAAGCGGAAAGGCTGCTCCATTCATACAGTGACCTCTGCCTGAGGCCCATCATGAGGGACAGTTACGACAAACTGCAGATGTAACACACATGCACAAACAAACACACACACTCCATCTGTACCACCATGTGCTCCTGCTCAAGTCTTTCAGCCACACACACACGTACACACACATGCACTCCATCCTTACTTGAGCTCCTCCTCTTCGATGTATCCACTCTTGTCTTGGTCCAGGACTGTAAACACTTTTCTCCTGTCTGCTTCAGATAAGCCAGTCAGTCCAACTTGTTCAAAGAATGACTTGAAGTTGAATGTGCCTGGAGCTACGTTGGACCACGTACACACACACACAGACACACACAGACACACACACATAGTTGAGAGAGGAAGAGAAACAGACACATGGGAATAAGAGGTCAATCACACAATGACAAGAAAGAAAGAAAGAACGACGGGAGACTGAATAGACATGTCGCATTAACTCATTCGCTCAGATGACTTTCA